AAACACCAAGAGCTGAGAGTGATTATCTATATTACAAGGTATAACTAAGATTAGGAAGAATTAAATTAGAAAAGGAAAAAATTAGGGTGAATAGTGTTGAAATCTTACTGTGAAAAGATCCAGCAACCTTTGGGATAAATTTTCATAGGAAGTATTGAAGACATTTCTCATTAATGTCACATCCAAAACTGGAGTGGATAAATCACTGGTAGATGTATAGATAGAAGATTGAACAATCTGATACTTAGTTCAGTCTCCGTTTGATAGAATCCTCTCTTGTCTCATTTGTGGTGACAGTTGCAATAAATAGGGCAGGTGATTGCACAGCCAGCTGCTACCCTGCACATGTGTTAGGCAGAGATCACAACTGGGAAAATTTCCATTGTAAGAAATGTTAGAAAGTTACGTATTGTATTAGGAGAGCGACAAGGAGATTAAGATGCCCTCTGACAACATGCTGAGGAACCACTCTGATGCCATCATCTGTTATCAAATTTTCAATTGTTCCTGTCCCATGGACTGCACAAATAATATTATCTTGATCTTTTTATGTGCTTTTCAACTCAAGATTAATGAACCTTATGAAGATCAGCTAAACCTCACATCTTACAAGAAACTATAGACAATGTACTCACTCCACCCTTCACTGAAAGGCACTAAAAGGAAAGAATTCTGTAGGCAATGCAGAGAGCACTTAAAGTAGTGAAATATAATTATATAGCTTAGGCCTGAGCCAGGACACTACTATTAACCCTTCATTTTCAGAAGCAAAATGCAGTATGATCTGGAATGAATGTATAAGTTCAGGGGGAAAAAAAACATACTCTAACACTAAGATCACATTCTGCTGTATTTGGATGTTCTTTGAGGTCTGCCACCTAAGAATTGAGCTGACCTTAATTGAACGGGGAGCAGGGGGGGGATCAGTGCATGTGGTGGTATGACTGCAAGCCATATCAAAAGATATTTTAAAACCTGGTGCTATAGTATGAGGAAGAAAAAGATAATTTTATGGCTCTTCCCAAGGGCCCAAAATAAACCACTGTCTTTTAAGGTGTGGGGCCTACACAGCTAGTTATTGTTAATGAAAGTAATGATAACAAGACTAAGATAATGAGTGTGCGCAGTATTCCACAAAGTGCTATTGATGGGATCAACAATATTTATGGTTGTTACAGTTTCATGAGAGAAACTTGTGCCAATTCAGAAGATAAGATTTTATTTAAGTTTTCTGAAAAACTGTGAAAAACTCAAAGGATGGGATGTGAACAGAGGTATGCTAGATGCTTTGATAAAAGGGCACTGCCCATGCTAAACCAGAATTCTGATATGCAGGGCTTGACAAATAATACAATCTACTCTCTCGGGGCGAGTAGATTGTAGCCCAGAAGAGCCGGGTTTGGGCCATCTGTGCACGGCTGGCGAGCAGGGCTCGCTGTCGTTCGGCGAGCCCTGCCGATATGTATCACCACCCCAAAGCAGCAGCATAATGGGGTTCCTTTTAGGAAAGTGCCTACTGTATTACTTTTTCCAAAATCACTTTAGTGATTTGTATAGCTGACAGAAGAATGAATAGAGCTCAGGAAGTTTAGCAAGACATTGTGCCGTTTTCTTTTCCCCCTTTCTTCCATCCATTTTAGTCTTGCTCCCCACTTAAATATTCCCTGCCAATTGCTCTATTCCATTGCCCTTCCTGTTGGCCTTCATGCTGCTACTGTGCCACTGTTTCATATACTACATATGATTGCTTCTCCTCACCCAACTTTCTCTCTGTAGTATACCCTAAGGCTATGACTACACTGACCAGTCTTGTGCAAGAACATATGCAAATGAGGCATAGAGATGAATATCGCTGCGCCTCATTTGCATACTTAATGAGCCACCATTTTTGCGCAAGGGGCTTTTGTGCAAGAAGGAGCAGTCTATACTGCTCCTTTTTGCACAGAAACCCACTGTTGCGCAAGAGCCGTTCTGCTGATTTTTTTCAGGAAGAATGGCTCTTGTGCAAGAGAGTGTTTTTGTGCAAAATGGCGGCTCATTAAATATGCAAATGAGGCATGGCAATATTTACCTCTTCGTGTTGTTTGCATATTCTCTTGTGCAAGAAGAGGCAGTCTAGACATAGCCCAAGTGATTAAGATCTCCTTGGTATTTGTTCTCGCTGGGTTTAATATTCACCTGAGTGAAATTATATTTAATTAAAACAAGCCTCTACAGCAGGGCTACTCAACTTTGGAAGCCCTGGGGGCCACAGAGATACGTCACAGCACATGCTGAGGGCCACAACTTAAGTGTGGTTGCATATACATGCACATATATATGCAAATAGCTTCTTTCACACTGATGGGCATAAATACAAAGATTAAGGCAAAATTGTGCAACCCGCAGGCCCCATTTAAGCCAGTTCTGCTGATATTAGTATAATGCAATATTTATCCGATTTCCCCATATGACAGCACTTTTAATGAGCAATGACAATCCAGGAATTTATCTACTAAAATGCATATCAACAGAAGACCGTTGTATTGATTACTTTTTCGTTTTGGCTTCCACCCGTGGGCTGTATGTTCAGCCCTGCGTAAACCCAAACCGCATTGCAGGCTACATACAAAGGGGCCATGGGCTGCACGTGGCCCCACAGGCCATGTGTTGAGTAGCTCTTCTCTATGGTACAAAATAAAATAATAAAGTCTATAGAATGCATTTATGGTAAAGTTGTGTCTTTTAAGCTATTTGAGTATAGTTCAAAGGTTTCAGATTTTAGTTTCCCCTCTCCTGCTCTCAGGAAGAACATGGTGCATGAAGCCATTACCTCCTACTCTTGTATTCCCTATTTAGATCCTAAGTGTTTGAGCAGGGCGCATGGGGAAAGGTGGTAGGAAGAAAGCTTCCCTGTCTTTTGCTCCTGTTCACGTTGTGGGAATCTTGAGTATATAATTATTAGCCAATTAGCCTCTTCCTGCCCCCAAAATAAAATATCCTCCATTGTACTTCCCTTTAAATAAGGCACAATTCCTCAGTAATATATTGAGAAAATGCTGGGACTTTCCATTTTGCAAAACAGGTTTCCTTACAAGCACTTTAAAAAAAAATAGAAATATGGGAAGCAAGGGATCATATATTCACTCATATTTTTGACAGTGATCAAATTAGACCATAGTTTCTTGAAACTAGAGGAGTGTGGCTAGCCCACCTGCCTCCCTTGCCTGAAGGTTAGTTTACACAGAAAACTCTGAACACTAAATTACATTGCTGCAAATAAAATATTAGAGCATGTTTAATAAATCTAATGTAATTACATATTATTATGCAACCCATATCTTTATCTTTTATAATTAATGTAAAAACTGTGCTAATACAATAAGTGTGACAAAGCAGACAAGAATTAAGCCTGGATCTTAAGAAGTTCAAAAGTTTAAGGGTCCCAATACAACTCTGTTCCATTATCACTTTGTACTTTTATTGTCTGATATCAATATATATCTTAATATATATGTCTAGTGTGGTAGAACTGTGAGAATGTTCTCGACTGACTTTCCTTTTGCATTTAAACGAGAATGCCCAATTCATTACACATTGGAATTAACTTGTCTATTTTAATAATGATCCTTCAAATGAGAGCAGATGTGGAACTCCTTTTTATATCTGTAGCCTGGCACCTATTGAAATGTTTATTTCAGTGCGGCTTGCTTTTTAAAATACATTTTTAATTAGACATTCAAAGTGCACTTTTTTATTTCAGCATCTAATCATTGAAAACATCGCACCTCTCTTTATTTTCATGTACACTTCTCCAGATAGATGCTAGCGTGTGAATGCAAGTCTAAAGACCACAACTGGGTCTCTTTAAATCATTAAAGAAAATAGTGCCTACTTGTGGCAGCGCGTCGGGGATCCCTGATCATGCACCACCATAGCAGCAAGAACAGACTCCGCCAATCAGTAGAATAGAGAGGGTTTATTGTTTCTCCAGGATACAGCACAGCGTAGGCATGATGTGGGTATAAGGAATCAGGGCCAGGCGGCCATAGACCCTTTGGGGAGGGGTGCCTAGGCCCCTAAACTCCCAGCATTTTGCTTAGACTGTTCCCATCATGTTTCCTAGCCAGAAACTGACCCTTCCCTCAAACACTCACTTCCTTTGTTCAGTCCCTACCCTCAACAGGTAGGACCTGTTGGGTCACTGTCTATGTGACCTCAGGGTCCTCAGCCACCCCCCGCCCCCACTGGGCAGTGCTTACAGACACAGGCCAGTAAGGGTCATCCACAGCCCAAACACAGCAACCTGTGAATGCCTGACCTGCCCAAACAGAGTGTACTGCATGCTCGCTATGTCACACTACTATATCATTCAAAGAGAGTACTTCCTTAAGTGAATTTTCTTCAAACAGTTCAAAGGCACTTGATTTCACTGATGCTCATTGTATAATAGAGCTGAAGTAGTAGAGATAAGCCATACGTTAGAATGCCAAAATAAATATGTGAAGAACTGTACCCCTTCACATTTATATTCCTCATATGAGTGAATGGTGTTTTACAAACTTTCTTCCAAAATTGACCTTTGGGCTGAAAGAGAACTTGAGACATTTAAACCCAATAGGATTTTTAGAGAAATATAGATGTGTGGGGTTAGAACAGAGTAGCCATTTCAGTCTCCTCTATAATATTACTGCTGTAGTGCTATAAATGAGGTAACATTTTCCATCTCTTTGATGTTAACAGCATAGCAAGAATAGTGTCTTTTGTCAGTTAGTTCCTAGACTATTTTTTATCTGATCAGAGAAAGCAATTCATCTGCAATTACATGCTGGCTGTGTTATAGTGAGGGACAGTAAATATGATGATTATTTAAAAATTAAATAAGATAAGGTGAAATTAAATTGAGCATATTGGAGAAATGCTCTAGTCTGAAAATTTTATAAATAGCTATTAAATAACTTTATGCTAAACTGTGGCTTAATAATAAATACTATTCTTGTTTATTTAAAATTTGTCTTTAGACCTTGGTAATGTTATGACTTCCACACCAAATTCCAAGGCTGTAAATGGTAAAGCTGAGAGCAGTGACAGTGGAGCAGAATCAGAAGAGGCAGAGGATCATGAAGAAGAGGAAAAAGAAATACAGCAAAGTGAAAAAGGTATATTTGAGTCCTGAATGTTACCTTTTCCAATACACAGGGTAGTATTATTACCCTAAATGGTTGCAAATCTTGAATGTCATGTGTGAGATATATCAGTGGGTTTATTTTGTTTATACAAACTGCACAGAGGAATACATATGAAGAATGGGATCACCTTTCAACCTGAATTCCAAGGTGAAGAATTAAGGATAATAGCATATGGGATCAGGGCCAAAGTTGTTGTGGGTGGTTATTGTTTTATATTTAGGACCTGTTTATCTCATGGGTGGCTGAGAGTGTATGTAGGCATATGGGATATAACCATAGAATTACAAATCCTATTTCCTTCTCTCCTTTTATCTTTGGTTGAAGAAGAGTTACAGTGAGAACTTTTTGTGTGTGTGGGGGGGATTTTAGAATACAGTGTCATATGAAAACCAAGAGAAAATATGCATTTAGAACGTAGTTGTTTATATATTTTTGTCAACAAGAAAACTGTAATAATCCTCTTCAGTTTCAGTAACTGATGAGGGATACAATGTTTTTGCCACTTTTATATTTAAAAATACCTATTTTACTTGCTATGTAGAATAAAAAATTATGATTTTTTTGCTTTAAGATTAATCTTTAAAGGAGCAGGACTAACTCTGTGAACATAAGTCCAAATAAAAATGTAATCTAAATCTGATTCAAACCATACAAGTAATACACACATCAGAAAGTCAGTTATCTGCAGAAATGTGTCTTTTACCATAAGTCACAAAGGTTTTTATTTGCAAGGTTTTCTTGTTCTTTCACAGACTATGAGAATCTGAAGCAGGACTCAACAGCAGTTAAGGATTTGGAAAGTATTGTCACCAATGGCTGTTACAAGGACAGTTTTATTTCAGATTTGCCAATTCGCACCCAGACTAAATCTGCCCTGAACAGCGTAAATATGGAGGAAGAAATAAAGAAAGTGGAGCAAAAACTAGAATTAACGGTGGAAACTAATAATGATGTTCGCCAAGGTATTGTCCTCACATGAGTATGTTATCTTTTTTTTTTTCCCCCCCCCTCAGGAGGATATTCTTTGTGCAAATCTTACTCCAGGAATTTCAAGGGCTGCAGCTGGTTCCCCTTAACCACAGAATCTTTTAAGAAAGAAAATTAAATGTGATTAAAATTAGAATACAGGTTTAAATAAACTTAAGATCTGTAATAGTAAAACACATGAATCCAGAGACAGGCAGGCCCGAAACCATTGTTAATTTCAAGAACTTACTTAATTTGTTTTTGTTTTAAAATTCCATATATGATAACATTCTATTTGAATTTGAATCTAAGAAGTAACTGGATGGAAATCATGCAGATTTATATTATAACTTGCAAAGACTGTATTTATGAACTCAAATGTTTAAGTGGCTAACTTGAACTTTAACCTGGAGACATCAACAATTTCAGATTGAAATACTGCTCCATAATGTGTTTGGGAAAGGGAGTGAAGTAAACAAAGGATTAATTCCTTTGTTCTAGAACAAGAATGATATGGGTAATTACTCTAATTGTGGTTCTTTGAGATATGTATTCCACTGAGGTATGTGCAAGCTTGAACCCAGAGAATTTATGTAGAAGCACCTGTAGAGGGGTAGTGCTTGCACCTCATGACCATAGCCTTTCCCTTGACTGTATGATGTGGTGCTGTTCTGAGCCTCCAATTTGCTTCCTTGAGTTCTAAGAAAAATGGGTTCCATGACCTACTCTGCCCACCTAGGGTTCCTGCCAGGGAGTGGGGGAAGCCTCTGTACCCAGACCCCATTGCCTAGCAGAAGCACTGAACGGATGGAGTGAGGCAAACCCCTGTGCCTCGACCCCATTTCCCTGGCAGAAGTGCAAGAAAGAATAGAGGGGGACTGCAGGCAGAACGGGTAAGGAAAAAGACCCCCACAAAAGTGTAATCTGTTTCTGAATGTACATCTACATCACATCTTAAGAAAATCATGGTTACATTTTTTTCTTTAAGTAGATGCACATTTTTCATGTTTCTTTTTGGAGTAGATGCAACTGCATAAGAACAGCCATACTGGGTCAGACCAAAGGTCCAACTAGCCCAGTATCCTGTCTGTTGACAGTGGCCAATACCAGATGCCCCAGAGGGAGGGAACACACTAGGTAATTATCATGTGATCCCTCTTCTGTCCTCCATTTCTAGACAAACAGAGGCTAGGACACCATTCCTACCCATCCTGGCTAATGGCCATTGGTGGACCTAACCTCCATGAATTTATCTAGCTCTATTTTGAACCCTGTTAAAAGTCCTAATCTTCACCACATCCTCTGGCAAGGAGTTCCATAGGTTGACTGTGCTGCGTGAAGAAAAACTTCCTTTTGTTTCTTTTAAACCTGCTGCCTATTAATTTCATTTGGTGACCCCTCGTTCTTATATTATGGGAATAAGTAAATAACTTTTCCTTATTCTCCTTTTTCCACCCCAGTCCAAGTCCTTTTGATGTCTTTTCATATCGGACCTGTTCCAAACAACTAATCATTTTTTGTTGCCCTTTTCTGAACCTTTTCCAATGCCAATATATCTTTCTGAGATGAGGCGCCACATCTGTACATTGTATTCAAGATGTGAACGTACCAGGGTTTTACATAGAGACAATAAGATATTCTCTGTCTTATTCTCTATCCCTTTTTTAATGATTCCTAACATTCTATTTGCTTTTTTGTCTGCTGCAGCACTCTGAATGGATGTTTTCAGAGAATTCTCCACAATGATTCCAAGATCTCTCTTTTGAGTGGTTGTAACTAAATTAGTCCCCATCATATTGGGGACTAATATCATAAGTACACACTTAGATGACTAACAAGCAGTGAGCACTTCCGCCCCTCCCTCCAAGAGGCAGGACTCAGACCTTGCTTGAATAAGAATTGTAGGGCTGCCCTTCTGAAGGTTGCATCCACCCTAGAAGATGTAGTAACGGCATAACAATTCATAAATGCAGGAATGGGTGACCATGTTACAGCCCTACAAATGTCCAATATGGAACAATCACTGAGAATGCTTGTGCTGAATGAGCTTGTGCTTGCTGAGGGAGCGAAACTGAAGCAATGTTGTATGCAGTTATGATACAGAATATTGTCCATCTAGAGTTTGTCTGTGAAGAGACTTCTTGACACTTCATCGGATCCGCATATGACACAAACTGGCAAGGCAGAGCACAGAATAATTTGTTCTGTTCAGGTAGAAGGTTATGTATTGCCTGATGTCTAATAAATGGTGATGCTCCAGAGATAAATGCAGCTTAGGAAAGAGCAATCCCAGCTGTATTTACCAGATCACTAGGGGGATATCAGTCTTGCTTGAGAAGGGCCAGATGCAAAGGACACCCTGACAGATGTTCTCAAGAAGCATCTGCCACTGTAAGGAGTCCAGGATCAGGGGGAAGGTGGACCAGTCTGTCCAAAGAAGTGTTTTATAGTAAACTGCTGCCAAGCCAAATTTAGAGGGGGAGAAAATGTAGCCTTGCAAACTGGAGCACCTGCATGCAAGTGGACATGTAGCCCAAGAGTTTGATCCATGTCTGAATTTTCATGGAAGGCTGAGATTGCAGACTGAGGTAGAAGTGACAAATTGTCTGAAAATAGTAGGTCTAGAGAGATCTCAAACTGCAGAGTCTATTAGGGCCCTGATGAACTCTATTTTCTGTGCGTGTACCAAACCTAACTTCCTAGTATTTAGGATAAGACGCAAACAGTTCACCAAGCACAGTGACCAGGGAGTTTCAGCCTGTTGTAGTTTTATAACCTATAACTATGTAACTCTTATTCTTAATCTTTAATCTATGGTGCAAAATTACCACATTCAAAATGTTGTCAAGTGTATCTCACTTGAATATTGAATCATTTCCTTATTTTTTGTCAGAATTGGCCTTGTATTTATTGTTTGGGCATGTATCAATTATGCATAGGTGCAAATGAAGACAGCGTTGAAGAGATTTCAGGAATTCAGCACTTGACAAGTGATTCAGACAGTGAAGTTTATTGTGATTCTATGGAACAATTTGGACAAGAGGAGGTAAAAATATTTCAGACTAAGGGGTACATTTTTAAAGTGGAATGTAATGAGTTTCACAACTCCTGTTTATTATGAACAGGAGCAACAGAAGATGTGCATGGATTACTTAACGCTCTACTGTAAAATGTGTGATCTTCCTTTTTTATTAGAAACAAATAATTTAAATAAATATTCTAACCACTCCTTATCTAAATAAAATCTCATTTTATCCTACTATCTGAGTGTCTGAAGGAAACACTGTTATCTCAGCTCTACATTTGTAAAATTGAGATACAGAGAAACTTGCCTAAGCTCATATAGTGAGATTATAGTAGAACAAAGAATTGAACCCAACATTTTCCAAATTCTAGGCTTGTACCCTAGCCATTACACTACATTCCTATCTAATTGTTTTTATGGATCCTGGAAGATTCCTTTCATCTTGTTACCAGCATCACCCACTACTAAAATTCGCTGTGGAAGGTGGTATGGCAGAACTGTTGCAAGCTCCCTTACACAGGTGATTTTCTAACTAAAGCATATATGGTTTGAGCTTGCTGAAACACTTTAATTATATGGATAACTTGGCATACTATTTGCATGAAAACACTGAACATTAGAAGTGCTTTGATCATCCCAATTGAAACATTAAAAAAAACTCTTTTGGAGGGTACTCTCTGAAAAAGCCAAGTATAATTTTTTGACATTGTGAAAGATTTACCAACAATATAGCGAAAGCTCTGAAAGTATAAGGTTTATGAATTATAGCAAGTACATTTTCAGATGTAGTTGTGGGTATGTAAATAGAGATGGCATGTAGATCAGTGGTTCTCAATCAGCTTATCATTGTGGGCTGAATATGTAGTTGTGTAATGTGGGCCGCATCCCCACAATATATATATGCTACCTGTATGGCACTGAGAATGTCACATAGGCTGCGGTTTCTGGGATATATGACACTTTGAGTTCAATTCTGAACTTGACCAGATTTTTAAAAATATCCAGTCAATTTTTTGGGGTAATATCACACTGCGTTGGCCGTTTTGTTTGGCTCATGTACTTCTATAAGTCAAGGGGCTCATCTACAGATAAGTGAAACCTTTTCCTCAAACTGGAGAGGATATATTACATGTCTAAAGAGGAATCTGTACAAACTGCCATATGAACTTGGGAATGAGTTTGTAATGTAGCTGCCATCCATTTCTCAGGCCTTTATCATGGCTTGCCTTTCAGCAGGTGTACATGTGTATAGTTTAAATCCTATAGCATTGCAAATTTAGAGAGGATAGTTGATGAAAGGCTATTAGCAATGATTGTTTTGTGAAAGGTGTAAGCTGATGGCCAAATTCTAGAACAAAGAGACATATCTGCAATTTAATCGCTGCCTACTCAAGTTGGCTAATGTGATTTTGCATTCTGACAAGATGCAGCCAGCAGTACTTTAAAGATATTTGATACAATATTTATCTATTTTTAATAATCAATTATTTATAAAAAAGGCACATAGGTTTTGTTTTATTTCCAGATGGAATGTTTTGGAATTTAAATTATACTTTAAATGTAATTATAATGTTTTAAATATTTAAAGCTTTTTACAAATTACAAACAATAAACCTCAACACCTCTGAGCTGATAGGTAAACAAGTTATCCCCCTTTTACAAACAGCTATATTAAGGTAAATCTCCTCTAACCTCTAAAGTAGTCTTTCTAACCTGAAAAGGACATCTAGAAAATAATATGAGCATCCTATAGGGTGATAATTGCTTCTATTGAAAGCAAAACTTTAACAGTGGTGAACCTCCTAAAAAAAGTAAAAACAGTATACTTCATCTTTTTATTTGACACCTGTCAGATTTTACAAAACATACACTTTAAGATTAACAAAATGCTGCCATTATTTTGTAGCCCTTGGAAATCATTACATCAGCCAAAGGATCTTTACAGCATTCATCCCATTTCTTGGAAGTAGATCACAGTCATCAGTTGGAAAATGCTGTTTTTTCTGAGCATGCTCACCTGCCCGCTGAAGATATAATGGAGGTAGCAGTTGAAGGAAAAGGTGAAGTCAAGTGTGGTGGAGAAGATGGCAAAAGCAGTGATGGAGGCCCTCATAAAGAGAAGAAAGGTGGAGAAAAGGTGGATTTCCATGGAGTACGAAGAGGGAGAGGTACTATATGTGCACCGGTTGTATTTTTCTCACTATATTTCTACATACAAATCAGCTGAGACTGAGTCATTTGTCAAGCAAGACTGAACACTGAGGCAGCCATTCTGTGTAATGTTTTCATCCAACCTTGTTCCATAACTAGATTAATAAATATCACATCCCTAAATTCCAGTGGTAAGAGTACTTTGCATTTTATTTATAATAAGAGTCAGAAAAGAATGTTCTTGTACTGGAGGATGTTTGAGTTGGCCTCATGAGCTTAATACTGGGACTGTTCTGGTTTGGTTTACCTTGAATTCCAAGCATCACTTAGAGCACTCTTCTGTTTTATAGGTGTAATCTTGCACTTCGTCATCAAACCAGATCTATAAATGTAGAGAAAGGAGAGTTAGTTACAAGGTGCATTTTAAACATCAACATATTTTTATTGTATCTGAATCGATCACTTCATTCAAATATTCATTTTTGGCATTGTATTTGGTCAGTTTTTGGTCATGATTATTTGCCTTATTTATAATATATACTAAATTACTAATATATGAGGTAGTCATTTAGTAGTCAATATCTTCAGTATATGAGGGACTCCCCTACCTCTTACTATGTGTGTGGATTTTAACAATATTGAAGACTATAGTATGGAAACAGCACTCTTTTAAAAACTTGTATTTTTACACAATCAAATATCTGCCATTGGCCACATTTAAACCAAATTTAAAGCCACTTTGTTAATCGGAAATCTGGAAGAAATATCTATGAATAATAATTACAGGTTACTGAAAACACTGTAAAATGAGAAAATGATCTGACATGTAGAAATGCCTGGCTGAGTTTTCCTGCTAATATAATAGAGTTGTGTGCTTTATTTTTCAAAAAAGTACAACAGATGATTCTTTCACTTTTTCCAAGAGGCACCAGAAACTATCCTTAGCAGCGATTATTAAGAAGAATCCTGAAACATTGCTAGATTGAAAAACTAGAATGGACATTGTATGGGATTATTTATCCTACTCCCTTTCACGATTGCTACTTCCTAGCAGAACCTTAATAGATTTACCACAAAAATATTAGGTTTAATGCAAATGTCTAACTTTTTCCACCTCCTTTGTGCTTTCGTCATGGTCTCAGATTGGGCAAAGGGCTTGCTACTTAGCATTGGGAAGTTTGCTCAAACGAGGATGCAGCTTTCATACTCATTATATTCAATTCCATTCTCGTTCCCATTCCATTGTTCTATAAAGTTTCTTTATGCGCTATCCAGCAAATCATGGAATCATGAATATCAGATTATTGGGATGACTGTAAATGTTTATCCTTGTTCCACTCCATCATCAGATTTGTAAAACTTAGTTCTGGAAGCATTAAAGGCTATAGCATGGAGAGATTAAACTAGAGGGCTGTGTCTAGACTGGCAAGTTTTTCCGCAAAATCATCTGCTTTTGCGGGAAAACTTGCCAGCTGTCTACACTGGCCGCCTGAATTTCCGCAAAAGCACTGACGATCTCATGTAAGATTGTCAGTGCTTTTGCGGAAATATTATGCTGCTCCCGTTCGGACAAAAGTCTTTTTCCGAAAGACTTTTGCGCAAAAGGGCCAGTGTAGACAGCAGAGATTCCTTTTCCGCAAAAAAGCCCTGATCGCGAAAATGGCGATCGGGGCTTTTTTGCTGAAAAGCGCGTCTAGATTGGCCACGGATGCTTTTCTGCAAAAAGCGCTTTTGCGGAAAAGCGTCCTGCCAATCTAGATGCGATTTTCCGAAAATGCTTTTAACGGAAAATGTTTCCGTTAAAAGCATTTCTGGAAAATCATGCCAGTGTAGACGTAGCCGAGGAGTCATGCTACATGGGAGGACAGTGAATAACCCCCGAGACAATATTGAACAAGGAGAACATATCAAGAATAACTGACAAGGAATGTGGGGAAAGCAGAAAATTCAAATAGTCTTTTACTTATCTGCAAAAATTGTGGCAATTGGGAGACAAGAAGTAGTAAAGATCAAAGAGCCAAAGAAGTAGAACAAGTGGAAACATTTGTGTATCTTGAAGGACTAGTATCAAAGAATGAAAATTGCAAAGATGCCTTGAAAAGAAGAATCAGACTAACCACTACTGCATTTAGAAAATTCTTCAAGATCTGAAAGATTAAGGACATTTAGATAAGAATGAAAATCAGCATATAGAGACATATGTTCTTCAAGCATGAGAAAAGCTGACAAACATAATGAACAGGCTGAGAGGAATACTGAGTATAAAAACTAAAGAAAATTAAAAAAAAGAAGTGATGATAAGAAAACAGCTCAGGCAGGAAATAATTCTGTCCTGGAAGAGTCAAGAAAGACCACTTTGGTGGTTTAGATTTGTCAAAAATACATAGTGATACATACCTGAATGCAGGGAACTAAAACAGAAGAAGACTAAGAGGCATTGGATAGACTGACAGAATAAAAAGGTTTAAAGATAAACAAAGTCATGAAGCTGGTAAAAGAAAGTGGTGGAAATATTTCATCTGGCCCCATCATTGCTGTTGAGTTGACTCACAGGAATCAAAGATCCTGCAAATGATGTTTATAGTTATAGATCCTTTACTGTAGTACCACAAATACTGCTATAACAACATCTTTTGTATGGGTCTTTTGTATGAGAATTTAGAGTTAAATCTATAGAGGTTACAAGTGTTCCCCTTCATTGAGGAAGTGAGAAATGATAAAGCAACGTAACCAAATATTTTCATTAAAGGTAATAGCTTCTGTCTGTTTTTTGTTTGTTTGGTTTTTTTTTCAAAAACTTAGGGCATAGGATGCAGCCTCTGGGCGATGGTGCTCAAGGTGGACAGATAGGGAGTGGAGGAGATGGAGAACGCTGGGGGTCAGACAGAGCACTGAGGGGCAGCCTCAATGAACAAATTGCAGTAGTGCTCATGAGGTTACAAGAAGACATGCAGAACGTGCTTCAGAGACTGCATACACTGGAGGCACTGACAGCCTCCCAGGTAAAAAATTGTCCAGATTATATATTTTTTTCTGGAAAGTTATATTTAAAGAAAAATGTACCTCTGTTGATTAACTAGCTATGCCTTGAAAAGCTCTCCCAAGGGTATATTTTGGATAGTTTCTATGCTTTTTAAGAGAAGAAAAGAAGGATTAGGTCTGTAATCCAAGTTATTAAAGAAGTTTATTTTATTTTGCAACTGTGAGGTCTTGTGTGGGGTTTTAGCTGTATCTAGTCTTCACTATAATAGAGTTCATGTGGCTTTTACACATTAAGTCAAGTATATTGGTTGCCTCTTCAGTTGCAAGTCAGTGCATTCATACAGAAATTTGTATTCATTTCCATGTGAGGTCAGTGTACCATTTTAATACCCATTAACCTTGGTTTGTATTTAAAGGCAAGATCACTGACACTACAGTCAAATTTACAACCTGCCTCACCTGTTAAGGTATGTTTTCATATTTGTAAAAAGGTATGTTTGGAACAAGATAAAATGACTTCAGATTTCTTACATACTTTAAATTCTGATCCTTAAACTAGGAGTAAAATAGAGCTGCTATAATCCAGGCTCTGAAGAAATTATTTAATAAATTTCCTTCTGCTATGCAAGTGTTTAGTTTTTTGCACTTTGACACAGTGGCATTTAAAGTGTATGTATGTACTATAATCTAATGTTGTGGTACAAATTAGTGACCACAGTTGGTATTTTATTTTGTTTAGAGACCATCGTGGTGGCCCTTTGAGATTTCTCCTGGCACTTTAGCCTTTGCTGTTGTATGGCCCTTCATTGCCCAGTGGTTGATGCATGTATATTTTCAAAGAAGGCGAAGGTAAAGATTGATTTGTATACTTTTACTCAACAGAGCATGTGTTTGTATATTTAACATTTCATTTGTTAGACATTACAGTATTCTACTCATAGGGATGATCACCATTGAAGATTTTGTTTTCATACATAATGCTGAGCATATTCTTGCATTACATGAAGCTTATATAGTGTCAACAGAGGACATGGGCAGTGTCAAAACATTAAGTGGATTGACAGCTAGTGCCCCTAAAGAATCCCACATTTTCTTGAGCTTTCGCTATCCTGGAGATGACCTGCTGAATATTCCACTCTATGTACTAAAGAAACTCCCAGTGCAAAGAATGGGACACTGAACCTAACCATGTATCAGGGCCTTTGGAAGAGACAGGAATAGAAAGATGTGATCTCCTTTCCAAAGCGGAAAAGAAAGGATGTTCAGCAAGAGCTTTAAAATGAACTACCATAGCTTCTCCCTTGCAGTGGGGAATTTAAGGGCATTTTGAGGAAGTGACCTATCTAGCTTTATTCCCCTGCAAATTTCTTCAGCATAGGAAAGTAGCCAAGCTTTCTGCATGGGCAATATGAACTTAACTTGACCTAAGCATAAGCCTTGCACAAAAGGAAACACCATACCAATTTCAGTAAGTATCCTTATATATCTGAGGCTGGCTGGCTCTTCTCTGCTTGATGTCCTTAGGCTCTGTGGCCAACAATATCCTCTTGAACCACCTTTATTGTTATGCAGGAATCTCTGGTACATTCTTCTTGTTCTGCTGTTGCCTAGCAAACAGATTTCTCCCTGTAAATGTGAAGATGGTTTCTTTAAAGAACTCTAGAGTGTTTGATGTTTGGTTTCCTATTCTAGCTACTTTTGCTGGTCATCTCATTTGTACTGGAATTAATACTTTTATACTGATACCCAGTACATATTTTTCAATGTTTTGAATATCTTCCTGTCTGTCCTTTCTTGATCAAGTGATCTTGGGCTTCTTTTCTGCTTCCTTTAGCTAAATGAAGTAGTGCTGCTTTAATTAAGAGTAGTACCCTTCAAACTCTACTTAAGCTCCTCTATTTCTCTTCTCTATCTAAACATGGAAGGCTCAAATTAGTGTTTTCTAAACACCAGATCCAGACTCAGAACTCACTTGCTGATTGCATTGTCTTAGCATGGTATTCTTCTTTATCCTAACCTCTTTATTCCACATCTTTCTGCAGATCTCTCACTAGATTTGTGCTGAATTATTCTTTGACCAAACTACATCTGTACTTTAAAAAGTGGCCATTATTCACGCATTTCGCCCAAACTTGAAATGGACACTGTGAGTTAAGGGGTCACTTCCCCAAATATAAGAATAGTACATTGGTATTACACTGTCCTGAGATCATTGACAACAGGCTTTGTTCTATTATTTGTATACTAATTTAAAAAACAATCCAAACAAACGAAGGCGCAAGCTTACTTGTTTAGTGTAAGTGCTATATACTGCCATGTGGCAGATCTGTGCCGAGGATCTTAGCTACAAAGTAGTGAGGGGCTGGACATGCTGCATAATGGTGGCATTTTTATTCTCCAGAGGATTTAGAATTCAGAAATTATCTGAATTGCATGATCTTCTAATCTAGAGATATGTTGCTAAGATGATCTGTTTGGGGAGTACAGAGGTGATTGTGTTTGGAAGCGATTTTCTTTCTTTTCAGTGGTGAAAATGTTAAGGGCAGTTGTGTGCTTGTTGGTGAGTTTTGTGGTAATGAAGGAGAAAATGTGCTGCTATCGTGCCTATTTTTGTATTTTGTTTTAATGGAGAGATCTTCTAAAATGTCAGATTCTTTTGAGATATAGCTACAGCCAAATATAATAAATCTATGGATTATGTTGGAAAAAATCCTCTCCTTAAGAATTTTTATTTGAAAAGAACCCAGGCTGGTCTTGGGTAAATTAGGATAAATTTTTGGCCTAATCGCTTTGGAAAAACAACTGACCCTTAGTACCTGTGCACCATTCTTAAACTTGATCATCTTTTTCTGTTTAATATACAAAAGTATGCTGTGAAGAAATATATGATGTATGCAAAATAATAGAGAGGACATTATACCTAATTTCAAGTAATTGTGGGATTTAACATGTAATTAACTTCATAATGTTAATTCTTTGTGTTCACAACATGCTGTTTTGAGTGAAAAATCATTACATAAGTAAGTTTTAAGTGGCTGCACTACCAACATTTTTTCAAAGGCTAAGGAAATGGGGTTAAACTAATTACATGTTTGGTTCCTCTTTTAGAAAACTGAACTAAGAACTTAATTTTTGATTTCACTTAAAGACTACTAGAACTGGGAAAGCCTGGAGAGAGAAGGAATTCACATGAGAACCTCAGGACCTGTGATGGCTAAATTTCCCTTCTGTTGTAGTAATTTTTTGCACTACGTGTGAGTTAACCACTTAAGGACTAACATTATTGATACTTGAATGATCCACTGCTCCTAGGTTACAAGTAAAATGAATTTAATTATCCCGCCCTTAAACCACATGAACCTTAAATTATTAACTATTATTTTGGAATGGATTCCTGCCTGGTCATTCTGTGGAGATGACTGATTTTTCTTATGGCAATTGATAATAAAGTAAACAGAAAAAAAACCCTGTGTATATATAGAATAGAACATTTGTAAAACTGTAACTTTAAAGTGAGGATGATTTTGTAATTGCAGTAACTCAGATTTATTTCACTTGTTCCATATTGTGAAATCGAAACAGTGACTGGGCAGACAGTATAAGTTCTGTCTACATAATTATATGGTAGCTAAAAAGGCTGCATATAACATTGTCGCTTTGAAGGGCTCAACTGGTCTGTTTTGCTGATAGACAGATTTGGGCTAAATTTCTTTGTACAGCAGTCATCGGTGGAGTCAAATATTTGACTTGATAATCCTGCCATTTATTGCACTTCTATATGTACCCACTTCCAAAACCATTTTACTCTTAGCAGGCAAGCATCTTGTCTGTTAGAGACTAGGTAGTAACAAGGGGATTGTTGATTATAATGTTGAGACCGTCTGTGCTGTAGAAGAGCCAGAGAGAGAGAAGATGCACTGAACGATACATTCATACAGGTATTTCTTTACTGCTAACAGGTTACATTTTAACAAACATACAGTTTATGCACACCGTGCTTTAAAATACAAGATAAAAATTATCTACACCCCGTATTTGTAAGATTTTACAGGTTAAAGTAAATTTTATATTATTTTAATCTAGCCCCAACATCTGTGTAGCCTTTCCCACACCAAAACCTACTGGAGAGAAAACCCCTATTTCCATATTTTCCTTGTATCCCTCCACTACATCAAAATATTTTCCAAGATGTTTATTATCCTAATTTTGGTCCAGATTTTCCTTTCCAGTGATATTTGTTCATACATATAAATTGTAATGATCAATATAAACATGTGAATATAACAATTTTGTGAAGTTTGCTTGGTCAAAGCATGCTTTGCTGTTTGATTATAAAAAAAAAAAAAAAGTATCTAAGTTACATAGCCTAAAGCTCTGGAAAAGGGGAGCATTATATTAAGATTACTTTTTCTTTATGAAGTAAGAAATCAGACCTAGACAGTAAAATGTTTATTTTGCATTTGCAATGAAGATAAGAAAAAATTCATTATGCCATAATCTACATTTAAGAGATGAATCTTAAAATTATCCTGTTGTTTGTTGTCATTCTTCATTCAGAATTATATGTTACAAATAATTTATGGGAAATGTCTTTTGGGATAAGACATGCTTTCTGCCCTGTACAGTCTCTTATTTTCGAATTTTTGAAAGCACTTTTCATACAAGTTATACTGTATAAAACAGATGTAATTATAGGTTTTAATGTTTCTGCCTTGCTTACCAGAATATGATTTTAATCTTGTCTTTAAGTACTTTTTAAAAAAAGAGATTTCTTCCTCTTCTGATCTTAGTCTTTGAGTTACTAAATAAAGTATCAGGAGAACATCTCTGATATCATGTCCTTACAAGCTGTTGTTTTGGTGTAACACATAAACAAACCTCGCATGAATGGAGATGCTGAAAATGTGTTTAAATTAAACTAATTAGACAATGGAAATTTTGCTATGGTTGAGATTTTAGGCGTCTCTGAAATTATTCTGCCTGTACTTTAAACAGTTGATTGTGTCATTAGACAGTGAAAAAAATTAAGTGGTCATTGAGCAAGGAGAGACTACATTAAAGGCTAGTTACACACATTTTTGAGAAAATAGGATTGTGACTCTGCCATCACTTACTGCATGTATTGGTGAAGATGACCACACACATAGTACCATTTGCATCTCCCGGGCTATTAGTGTATGCAAAAAATAACTCCGTTCACTCTTTTTAAAGGCCTCTAACAAACGTAGAAACATTCATCACAATATCTGCGTTACTACTGGATTATTATGCAGTCAGTACATAAGTGTCTACCAACCCTCCCAAAGTGACATTCTGTGGAAAGAAACACGTTTTAATACAAAGCAAAACTGTTATTCTACAGATGCTGCTTCCCTGTGCTCTTCCAGCATTGGCAGTGTAGGTAGATATTCCTCACTAGGCATGACTAGAAACCTTATTTAGGGCCTAACTTACAGGGTTAAAGTGGTAGTTTGAGACTGGACCTTCCCATGTTTTCTTTTCTATGAAGGCCTGTAACAGGCTCGTTTTTGCCACTTCACAGGGTCAGAGAGATTAGCTGGCAGGACATGTGACAGAAGTTAACTCCTGAGAGCCTTTCTAAACAAATCAGTGTGGCTCTGATGCCCTGCATATGCTACTTCAGCTGGCACTGTCCAAATGTTAGCTGATAGAAGCCAGTTGGGTTTGGAGAAAGTTGTTTTCCACTTATTTAGCTCTCATCACAGTAGCTATATAATCATGCAGCGGGGTTGTACTTCCAGCATGGAGTGCATAGTAGGAGCCAAATCAAGAGACAGCTCCTTGCTATTTTCCCATTAATGCATGGGAACAGTGGCATTTACATACTGATTTCAGAGAAGGAGACAATTGCAGAGGCAGGTGGTCAGCAGATGATTAGAAATAAAACAAGCAATTCTTGGACTCAAGGAGATATGAAACCTACATATTGTGATTAGGCGACGCCTGCTAGATCTGACATACGTAAGGAAGTCATAGAAGGCAAAAGACTTGGGGACCCTGTAATCAAGGTGGTAGTGCTTTTCTACCACCAGCTTCTTTTCCGTCCAGAGCAGCAAGAATGTAAATGAAAGCCTAGGCACTACCACTTGTATAGAATAGGCCTGGGGAGGATAAGGGGGTGCCATGTGATTGGCCAATGGCTCAATGCCTACAAGTGAAGGGGGCAGAAAATTAAAAACTACTGCCGGGGAGAAGGGTAGAGTAATTTATAAATAAGTATTTGAATGTCTTAGACTTAGATAAAACATTGTAAATTGAGTCTTCCTCCTCAGTGACATTACTGACCCACCGTATTCTAAATACTTATTTAAATCTAGTGGATTGGAGGAAGGGTTGGAGGTGGAAGCAAAGCATACAGCACTAAACTCTCAATTGTGTATACTATATAAAATGTTCAGATTGGTTCTTTTTTCAGTCTCAGCAAGATACCTGTTTCTTAGCATATGTAAATAGTGCTCCTCAGAACTTTAAAATATTTTCATTATATAGGTTTCAAAAAAGTATAAGAGGAAAGTCTCAAAAAGAAATTGAAGGTTGCATGTAAAAGAGGAAGTAGTATAAAGCCACTATGAAACAAACTGGTAAGAAAGCATAGTGCTAGGTGATGGACCACACAGTTTTATAAGGACAGGTTCTAGTGCTCAATAGAAAACAGTAAAATGTTTTATTGTACTAAAATGAGCTAAATTTAACTCATGAACAGTCACAGAACAAGAGAGTCCACTGAGCTCCTTTGTAAATGATGGTGAGTGAATTCCAAAAGCAACTGGAGGCAGAGTTGACTTCTCACATATGGGAGTGGTTTTAAGAGGAGTCTGCAGTTACTAAAGCCTAGGCTTAATTAGCAAAGGTACAGTCAATATTTCAAAGTTTCTTGGCCTCAACTGTCTGTGCCATATATAGATTAACAGTATCTCAGCAGTGACTAGGGCTATAAAGCTAAGTGCCCAAGATGTGACCTTTAACTACAGAGATTTCAGTGGACTTGATTCTACTTCTTGATTTTTTTATTCTATACTTAACTCAATCTAGTTGACACTAGCTAGGATGATATTGAGGTCAGCTGGAAGCTTTGAATTGTGTGTAACTTAAGGAACAGATATGGAATGCATGGAAACCAAGGGGCCTGAAAAGAAACTGCTGGCCTATGTCCAGTGCACAAACGACCAGAGGCAGAATTCCACAGCTTCTGCATTCATCATAGATTAAATAAATTACTAAGGGGAGACTGAAGGCCTCAAAACTTTTTACTTTGCTTCAGAGTCATAGGAAAGGGTAACAGTGAATCTTTGAAATACACCATAACGAATAAAAAACTCTTTTTTGAAGTCAACATGTAATACTTAATGCCATTATAGCTGGATAGTAAAACCTACATGAAAGTCAGAGGCTATTCATATTATGCCACTGTTCAGACCAAGAAAAATATGATCTTGTTCAGCAATGTTTTATTGGAATGCATACTATTCCTCTTAATACCCTACTCTTCAACTTGTCTACAAAACTTAGTGTGTAACATTTCCCAGTTCTGTCTTTATTTTGACTTGCAAGACTATGGTAAAATATATAAACCTCTAAACTCTGTTCCTTGAAAGTTTTTGAAACAACAGCCAGATGTTAAAGTTTTTGTTTATACATGTTTTACAATGGTTTGATTTCTAGTTTTATATTAATGTATTAGACTATGTAAAAAGACAGTTCAGCCTGGCAAATAGTTCTGTAATTCATGATGCACATTGTAATTAATTTGAAAGATATTTAAATAAAAGCTTATCAATTTGTGAGCCTTTAAATTATACAATTTTGGGTTTAAATATTTTCTTGATGAATACAAGCTGGTACATTCAACAGAAAACCTAACAAAACCCTTGCTATCAGCATCAACTAATTATGCTAATAGATAATTAATAGTGAACCACTTAAATATTAGTTTCAGTATTAGTTTGAATACTTTGCTAACAGACTTATGGTGCACTATATCATCTCTCCATAAAGAAGGCTGTATTTCCCATTAAAAATTAGCACTCTCTCATCTAACTTCTGAAAAACAAAACTAATCCCATGACATTCTCCGAGGTTGTACTTCATCTCTGATTACTATTTTTTGAGAGTTTGGAACACGTGGATACAAATGCTACATTTCTTCTCTTATGATAAAGAGCCCATTAGGATCTGCAGTTTGTCTCAGACAGAAATAATCTAGTAATTATGTGCAGTAATAAATGCATATTTATTCAACATTTAGAGAACCATCACTATTAATTGCTGCTACATGCACAAACTAGATTCAGTGATCTGCAAATATGCAGAAATTGGAAAACCATTCAGTGAATGGGTTATAGTGTGGTTTCTGACATTGCAACATTCCTTAGTGTTCATTATACAATGTTTTCACAAATCCCAACATCAATAAATTACAATCCAAACATTGTTACGAATTGTCAAGACATTAGCTATGATTTTGTAATTATTTGCAAGTGTTTGATTTTGTCTGGCTTCTAGGACAAAACATAGGGCATTTCTTCTCTCGCATACCCTTCTTGGCAGTTTGGAGCATAGAATCTGGCAGCTCTGATTAATCCACACTCCATTCACTAGTCTTGTGGACCAGGAAGCATGAGATGTGAATGGTCATCAATTCATTTGCTTTGCCTGAAATGACAATTCCATGTAGTTCTCTGAAAAGCCACCCAATAATGGAGTGCTAGTATAGCTCTCAGTTTTGGGATATAGAAGCTAGATTACACCATGGAACAGTATGAACCTTCTACCTGTCCCCAAGCAGACATTGAATTTGGAAACCAAAAACATTGTAATGCATTGAATACAATTGTAAGCACTACAAGAAAGAATTTTTAATGATGCTTCTCATCTAAGATAAAAGGAAACAGTTTAACCAAACCAAAAAAAAATATATCAGGCATTATAAGAAAAAACAATCTCTATGCATTTTCCCAATATATTAAAATACAGCTTACATCCCTGCAAAGATCCCTGATTAAAATGTTTAATACTGAACATCTTAATTTTAACTCAATTTTATTGAAATTGAACTTCTCAAATCAATTTACAATACATTACAGAGCATCTAATATACATAATTCATATTTTGATTAGCAAACAGTTTTTTTAACATCTGGCAGAGTGATACAGGAAAGAAGCCCAATATGGATCCTTAGTTCTTCTACATTTAAAATAAACAAGGGGTCACTAAAATACTGTTCAGTCTATCATCCCATAATGCATTCAAAAATCTCCTCAGTATTACAAAGTGTTAGCAATTTTTTAAAAAAGCAATAAGCTTCCTTTACTCTGTGCAGATGCCAAGGAAAAAGCATTGGCAATAAACACAGCTCAGTTTTACAACACAGATACCTCAGCAGCCGAGGGCAGTGTGTGACCTAAGGATGCCAAAATATCTTTTTCCTCATCCCACTAAGGAATAATTCAGAGGGATAAGATATTTTACAGTGCTCTGAAACCTACAAAATTTTCACTTTTGTTATGGATGCTGCTCCAAATTGGTCAAAGCTATCCCAAATGTGACTATGAATGTATTGAACCCAAGGTAGATAATTAGCATGCATTTTCTGCCCCCACTCAGTTATGTTTAATAGCAAAATAGCCCTTATAAATTGGAAGTACTCCACAGCAGCAATAGAAAGGACAATGTTTTGCCAAGTGTGAAAGTGTCATTACTAACTTTACAAATACATACTTAGGCTCTCAATAAAGTGCAGAAAATATGATAAATAAAAAGAACAAGAAGCCATTTGTAATTAATAAACATTTTGTATAGTAGTTTTGTTTTAGAACAGAAGAATATACAAATTAAAACCACACTGATCAATTATTTTAAAAAACTAAGTTTGGTAAGAAAACCAAGGCCAAACTAGTGTTAAAGGGTAGTTTACAAAAGTGCAAAACCATGGACAAAATTCCATTTTCTTGATACTATAAGCTAAATCCAGACACAGTCAGATGCTGAGCATTATTTCTAGCTTCAAAGTAGGAGGTATCTGTTTCATCATCCGGCTGAGGTATGAAAGGCATAGTTTGATTCTGAAGATTATCCCAGTCTACTCCATGAAAGAGAGGATGACGTTTCAGCTCTAAAACAAAAGTTTGCACAAAATATTAAGACTGATTGATCACAAGAGAACAATTTAGCCACCTCACTGACATGCCAGTTATTAGCTGTTTTGGGTGTGTTTTACCTTTCTGGATATTCAAAAGCCTACACCGTAGGGAATGTGAACAACTAGTCAACCATCCAATAAGCAAATGCTTATCAGGTAGTCGACACCCTAGTCGACTAGTTGCTTCCTCTCTTGCTGCCTGTATAAGAAAGAGACAGTGGGGGGCGGAGGCGAGGTAGGGGAGACAGAGAGAAAATGGGGCGCTTCAAAGCAGCAGCACCATGTGGAGCCCAGGCCCAGACCCTGAGCTTCACGTGGCGCTGCCGCTTTGAAGCGCTGTGTGCAGCCTGGGGCGAGCTGCATTTGGCATTTCAAAGTGGCAGTGCCGCATGGAACCTAGAATCTGCTGGGGACTCCCCGCTGACCCCAGGCGCCACACAGCGCTGCCGCTTTGAAATGCCGCAGAGAGCACTGGCCCAGTGCTTTCACCTTTGAAGTATAGCAACAGCCCTGGGGACTCTGTGCTTTAACACTAAAAGGCTGGGAGACTGCCTGGGCCCTTTATTAGAGGATTGTTAACAGCTCCTTTAAAAAGGTGTGCTACTGGCAATAAACTGAAGTCTAAGTTGCTTTATCAAGAAAGGAACTTTGAACACTTGTGTTCTTAAAATCTACTTCCTGTTTTTTAGCTTCTCAGCTGAAAATATCACTGAGTGATAATGGCAGGCCACCAGCACCATGCGATGTAAAAAAATTCCTTGGATTCCCTCAACTAGGCTTCTGACTTATGACAGGGAATCTGTTATTATTTACAATGGTTGATGATCTCCGGAAAATGACATAATAGCAGAGATCTTGGCAGATGGTCTTTAATGAAGCTAAAGAGGTACTTCTGTTACAGTTGCAGGTCTTCACAGAATTTAAGGCCAGAAGAGACTATTAAATCTTTTAGTCTACCTTCATTAAATAACTGCTTTTAGGAAGAGTTGAATAGATTGTACTTTGGTAAGTTAAGCATGAACGATTTTAAACTAACTGCAAGCAGCATGAACATATAACCAAGTAAAAATCATTATTTGCTTTCCTTATTCAATAGCATAAAACCTTTTATCAGCACAGTCTACACAAGTAGCATAGTGGATACCAAAGTCTGCAATGTCTAGCACTCAAGCTCAATGCTAAAGCAGGGACCATGACATTTTAAAATATCAAATTTATCAAAAAGGTAAAATGTGAAAAGTTTAATAAATACTGACCCTTCAGTCCAGCTCTCTTTGTAGTGTCAATGGTTAAAAGAATATCTATTGTATTTTGGGCATTGCTGGACAACTGTTCTTCACCCTCAGGCCAAGGAATATCTACAAATACAAAAAGACAGGCTTATCACCAGTTCAAATAGCACAGCAAAGTTTGAATTCCTTAGTTTCAGTGAGCATGAATTACCTCTTTTTAAAATGTTCTGGAAGACTTGTTGTGGCGTTTCATCATTAAAGGGTGGAATTCCTGTTAAGAACTCAAACAAACAAACTCCAAGAGCCCACCAATCTACTGCAGGACCTGAAAAGGGGAGAAAACAACGTAGCTAGCATAAGGAAGAAGTTGTTCAATAACCTATACTGTAACTTACGCACAAAGGGCCAACAACACTCGCAAACAAAATCATTTAAATCCTAACAGTGGCAGAATTTTGGAAAAATTAAGTCCTGAAAAGCTTTCTGTGAAAGTTTAGTATGAAACATTGAAAAACAGACAAAACTTAAGTTGTTCTCTAATAATTCTGGCAGGAAATTTAAAATTGTTTACTGTAAGAGGATTTTTAAAAGTCACTATATTCATAGCTTCATATTAATATTCAGAGTAACATTTATTGAGGGCAGAAGAGTGTAGGACTAGAACAATTGCAAATTCTTGTACATGTTAGTCTGTCTATATTAGCAATGAGCAATAATCAGTCTGTGGGCCAGACTTGGTTCACCAGAATTAGTCTCTGGCAGGTTGCTGCTACTTGATTTACCTGTACCCCTGCAGATTAGCGATGTAAGAAACTAGTCGATTGACGACTCGTAAGCCTATGTTCATTGGGTAATCAGTCAAGTACTTGACTACTCTATTTGCATTCCCCGCAAAGACCTGGGATGAGCCAGCTGTTCTAGGGGCAGCTCAATTGCAGCTCCACACTATCTGTCCCACACACCAGGCTGGTACCACTCTCCCGGGAGACCCACTCATGCACTGCAGGTGGAGAAGTGGCCAGGGCTGCCCAGCGCTGGGCCAGGAGCCGAGGACTGAAGCCCGGCCAGGCAGAGTGCAGCGGCCAGGCGAGCTCAGTGCTCCCAGACCAGGCTCAGGGAGATGCAGGGTGCCAGTTCGGTGGTGCTCCATGGTTGGGTGTCCTGTGGTGAGCCAGGCCGATGCTGCCAGTGGGGCTGTGTGGATCCCTGGACTGGGCTGGCAGCATTCAGGGCTCCATGTGGGCTGGGCAGGTGGGGGCAATGCCTCTGGCCAGCCTGGGTGCTTGGGGAGCCTCACTGCACCCTACGGGCAGCTGGGAAGATGCTCCAGCAGGTGAGTTGATTCTGTGGCTGGGCTTGCTGCTCGACTGGAGCAAGCCCAAGCTGAGTATCAGCAGCCCTCTGAGCTCATGGGCAGGGACCAGAGCATGCCAGTTGCCAGGGCCTTGTCCTGGGCAGGTGCTGTGTGGCTCAGCCCAGGCACGCCACAACCCAAAGGGGCAGAAGCAGGGTGAGTGCCCGAGGGCTGAGCGGAGTCAGGCGGCCTGGCCTCCACTGTCTGCCTGCCCTGGACCTGCAATCCCCTGCTGGGCTCTGCCTGTCTCCTGCCCAGCCTGTGCAGTGCCTGAGTGCTGCTACCTGGTGTGTTGGGGAACCCTGGCTCCAAAATTACTTTGGTTTCACTCTACAGGCCTAGAGGCGTAAATAGGCAGGTCAAGTGCCCCTCTGCTGACCCAGCGCTGCCTTCCTGGAGCCTTGCTATCCTGACCGCAGTTGCTTCGGCCCTTCAGCTTCCTTGCTCAGCTTCAGGATGTGCGCAGTGGGCAGGCACTTGCTGAGTTTCCCCCATGCCACCAGAGACCGGACAGGAAGGCAGGAGTGGGGGTGGTTTAATGAAATGCACTGGGAAGTTGCATCCCAAATGAAACTCACCCGTGGGCTGACAGTCATATCCAGGAGTAACTCCCGCAGTGGCTCTGCAGTTTAAATGTAGTAAGAACCAGGTTGTTTATGCATCCGGCTCATACTACATTTAAACTGCAGAGCTGCAGCAAGGGGTAGCTCCCAGAGGCTTCCAACCCTATCGACTAATTGTGTAGTCAATAGAAATTGTATTGACTATAGGATTAGCTGATTACTCGTTTCTTAACATCCCTAATACAGATATGGGTGACTGCAGCTCCTGTTGGCCACAGATCACCACTCCCAGCCAATGTGAGCTGCAGGAAGTGGTGTCCAAACCTGCGCCACTTCCTATAGCTCCTACTGACCAGCAACAGCAATCTGCAGCCAAGAGAATATGCAAGCACCTCTACCTGCAGAAGTACAGGTAAATAACATGCTGGTAGTCGCAGGGGCTAAGGCCTCCATCTTATTGCCCATTCCTGGTCTATAGGCTCTCTCATATAGAGTATGTCTAGACTACATGCCTCTGCCAACAGAGGCATGTAAAATAGGCTACCCGACATGCCATGTTCCATGAGGCATAAGGGAGCAGTTGACAAAGGCTTCCCCTGTCGACCAATCTGCATCTTGACTCACGCTGTGCCGACGATCAGTTGAGCCGGCACAGTGTGGTGACCGTTTTTATTTTGATGAAGCCGGGGTATTTAAATCCCCACTTCATTGACTATGTCGGGTAGCCTATTTTACATGCCTCTGTCGGCAGAGACATGTAGTCTAGACATACCCATAAAGTGCTCTCTTGTGGTAGGAGAGAGAATCATTTGTAATTTCTCATCTACTCTGGAATTCAAGGCTGAATGAATTTTGTAATTCCACATATTACCTTATCACATAGGTTGTCTGAAGCAACTTCAGAAGCACAAAATAGATACTGATTTTCAATAACCTAAACCCATTTTTACCAATACTGAGCAGTCTATAGAGATGCATCAGCATGCAAGAAAATGGATTAATGTTCTACCATTCTAAAGTTTAATAGGGCAATGCAAAGCTACTTAACTGTTCCCATGTATTTCTAAATAGTTTTTTCTGGGCAGTGAACAGGCTGTGTTAAACATGTGCAGTCAACCCCACTTAAACAAGCAGGCAAAAGCAGTCCAGACACCACCGAAGAGTTGCATGCATTCTGTTTTCTCTATCTTTAAGTCATGTCCACTCCGCTTTATAAAGAATAATACAGGATTCACTTGGTGCAAAGAGTGGTTTGCACAGGAATCCAACCTTGTAAAAAGCGTGTGTGGTTTTTTTTAAATTCACCTCCAAAGTAAAAAGGAAATGCTTTTGATAGTTTTAGTTTTCCTGTATTTCTATCCTACTGTCTTAATAAACCAACCACACAGGTCAGTTATATATTTCCCAGTTGGACACAGAATCAGAGCACCTCTCCCAGCTCAGCACACTAAAGCAATGAGATCCCATCCACTGCATCCAGTATACTTGGATGGTTAGGAAAAATTAGAAACATAAGTCAAAGTCTAATAAGATCACAATTTGGGACAAAATACTAAAGAACAAGTTTCATGGTTTAAAGACATACAAATCATTTCAAGTGTTCTGATCACAGCTCTAAGTAGAAATTAATTCCTATCATCTATTTTTGTGGCAAGAAAGCCAAATATTCTTGGACATCTCAACATTTCTAACCACAAACAAATATTATGAGGTGGCCCAGTATAGCTGAGAAATTTAACCCAACCAGTCATTCTGACTGATAATTTTTTACCATCACCTTCTCCCATTTTGAAGCTTACTTCTTGATAGAGAAAAGGTGTTTAGAAGTGGTGTGTACTGACTTTAATGTGAAGGGAGTAAGTCGTGTCCCTGTTGCAGGCTACTAGAGGCTATACAGTTTCTCTATAATTTGTCTCATGTAGTATCATGCATTACATATAGCAATACAAAAAAAATCACATGTGCAATTTCTTTAGCCACATAATTTTACTTGAAAAATGTGATCTAGTTATACTTTGACTGTTCACAATTTAGTTGAACACCCCTTTACAGTCAAACTCACCAGACATCAGAATTCCTGTATATAAAAAACACAATTAACCATATTAAGATTGCAATAAATTACTTATTGTAAATGCTCATATTAAATATTATCAATTATGTTTGATGCTGCAGAAAAAAGTATTTTTTGCTTGTTGCACTGTGGTACTTTTCTGAGACATTAACTCTTTAAAAAAAAATAAAAAAATTTGTAGTTAGTTAATCTAAGTATGCTTCAGGAAATTTAGAGAGGCGCAAAAAACAGTTACCTGTAGGAAAACAGAGATATTCCTTGAGGTATAGTTTGCAAAAATATTAGGATAAGTATCTGTATTCTTGAGCAAAGTATCATGGGATTTTTAATAACTATGAGTAGCTAAGACTAGGGATGCAAATGACTACTCGAGTATTTGACTAACTGATAAGCCTAGGCTTATCAGGTAGTCGAGTCACTACTCGACTGGTCACTACTCCTCTCCCCCTTGCTTCCTCTGTAACAGAGGCAGCAGGGTGGGGAGAGGGAACAGGAGCTGGTGTTGGGGGAAGCCGGCTTAAAAGCCTGTTCTCCCCCCAGCACTGTCTCTGCAGGATAGCAGGAAAGGTAGAGGCACAGCAGGAAATAGCGCAAGCGGGGACTGAAGCAGTATCCGCTCGTGCTGGTTCTGCTGCAATTCTGCTTTTGAAATGTACAAGAGCCCCTTGCGGCTCTTGTACATTTCAGAGTCAGGTGCTGCAGGGAGGGTGGGGCCAACAGGGAAGTCCCCCGCTGGCCCTGTGCTCCCTGCGGGGCTCTCTTTTGAAAGTACAAGAGCCCCACTGGGGCTCTTTCAAAGACTGAGGTGCCACAGGGAGCCTTGGGCCAGCTGGGGACTTCCCCACTAGCCCTTAGTTCCCTGAAGAGCTTCTGCTTTTTAAATGTACAAGGGGCCTACTGAGGCTCTTGTACATTTCAACGGCTGAGGTGCTGCAGGGAGCACGCACCCAGTCCTCTGATGGCCCCACAATCCCTTCAGGTCTTCTGTGTGATAGGGCTCTTGTTACAGTTCAAAAGCAGAGGCTTCCTTATCGACTAATTGAATTATTAATGGAAATCACATTGACTAGTTGATTAATCTAAATTTAACATCCCTATTGCCTACCTTCTCATAGCTGTTGTTTTTCAAGATGTGTTGCTCATGTCCGTTCCAAGTAGATGGGTACACACTGCCCACCTGAGAAGCCCCTATAGTTGGCCTTTATGGTGTTGTATATAGGTCCCTGCTGACCCACTGCCCCTTCAGTTCCTTTTTGCCAGTGTAATCTGAGTAGGTGTCTATCCGATCTCCTAGCAGGAGGGTGGGGGTCTTAGAATGGACATGAGCAATACATTTCAAAGAGTAACAGTTACAAGAAGTTAATTTTTTTTCAAGTGTTTGGAAGCCCCTATAGTTGGCCTTTATGGTGTTGTATATAGGTCCCTGCTGACCCACTGCCCCTTCAGTTCCTTTTTGCCAGTGTAATCTGAGTAGGTGTCTATCCGATCTCCTAGCAGGAGGGTGGGGGTCTTAGAATGGACATGAGCAATACATTTCAAAGAGTAACAGTTACAAGAAGTTAATTTTTTTTCAAGTGTTTGCTCATGTTGATTCCAGGTAGGCAATTCCCAAGCATCTCATAGAAGGGGTTGAAGTTCAGCAAGTTGAAGATTTCACTACCGTTCTGCCAAATGTGGCATCATCTCTGGCCTGCTGTATAATGACTTAATGCAGCAATAGGCAACCAAGACTAGAGAGTGGGCCACATGAATGGCCCTCCATTTCAGAAGGCTGCATGATTGAAATCTAGTGATGGGTAACCTGTGGCTCACTAGGGTTCCACCTAGGGATGGTTGCCAGCTAAACATCAGCCTTATTGGGTGATGCTTATGGTAAGTGGTGCCTGAGAGCAGCTCCATACCTGTGGCCTGCCACAGGTGGAGGGCTGCTCCAGTGTTCAAGCTCTGGAAGGGACGGGGAGGAGGGAGATGGAGCACAAATTTTCAAAAGTGCTGGGAAGGAGGGCGAAGAGTAGAAAGTGCAGGGCTCCAGCACCTCCATGTGGGAGAAGCATGGGGGAAAGCAACAGAGAGGGGGTGTGCGAGCCACAGGTGGAACTTCACAGGCCACAGGTTTCCCACCACTGGTGTCATGTGATGTAATGGCGTGGACTGACAACCATGTCACTGGCCCTGCAGATATCTTTAATGGGGACCTGCACCAGGAACACTGCCAAGGATGCTTGTTCCCTTGTGAAGTATACTATCTATGCCAGGTCAGGTATCTTCGCTAGCTATAGCACGCTCTTATATAGACGGTAATCCTTGAGGATATTTCATGGGATGTTACTGAAAGCCCCTTAATTCATTCTGCATTTGCAACGAAGAGTTGTGTTGATTTTCAAAATGGCTTCATTCTTTCAGCATAAAAAGCTTGTACTGGCTGACCTTCAAGGAGTGAAGCATTCGCTCCTGGTTGCTGGAGTGTGGATTAGGAAAGAAAACTGGAAGTAGTATGTCCTTATTTGCGTGGAATTGTGAATCCACCATTGGGAGAAAGATCAAGTGGAGCCGCAACTGTACCTTGTACTTATAGAAGACAGAATATGGAGGCTCAGAAGTCAGGGCCTTAAGTTTAGAAACTCTTGACTGAAGTTATAGCTACCAGGACTACTATTTTCCAGGAAAGGCAAGGAGTGAGCATGTTGCTAGGGTCTTGAAGGGTGAGCAGTAGGCTGAAATCTCATATGGGGATCGGCTGTGTTACTTGAGGGTGCAATCTTATCCAGTCCTTTGAGGTACTAGCTGACCATGGAGTTAGCAAAAATTGATTCTACTTGGGTTCAGCCAGCCAAAGCTGAGATGGCGGTCAGATGTACCTTTACTCACTATACCCATAGCCCCTATTGTTTCAGGTGCAGTAAATAGTCCAGGATAAAAGGAATCCATAACTGCAAAGGTGGAGTGTCCTTTTGTAATAACCAGAGAGAACTTCTTCCACTTAGCAAAATAAATGGCTCTAGGTCAGTGGTGGGCAAACTTGTCATAAGCTGCTGGCAGGCCACCAGACAGGCTGTTTACCTTGCATCCACGGATATGGCCTCCCACAGCTCCAATTAACTACTTCACCAGCCCTTCATGCTGCAGAATTGTGCCTCTGCATACCTCTTGGGGGAGGGGCATAATGGGCCTCTGCCCGCATCCACAAGTGCCACCCTCACAATCCCATGGCTGGTTTCTTTCTGGCAGCCTCCAGCTATGGTACTTCTGGGACTGGCATGGCTGGGGCTGCAGCAGGCTGCCTGATCGCCCCACTTGGCGTGGGACATTTTTCTCCGGCCCCAACTTGCAGGGTGACAGTGGGCCAGAGGAAAATGTTTGGGGCGTATTTTGCCCAGATCTGTTTTATTTGATTTAAATTAAATGAAAGCCACTTTCCATTGTCCCTCTAATTCTGGCCTAGATTTTGAAAATAACCAAATACCTAATTAAAAATGAATAATAAAGTACCAGGTTTTCAAAGGTATTTAGGCATGTAAAGATACATATAGGCATATGCCTAGGTATATTTTCAAGAGCTCCTGGAACTTAACTACCTTTTAAATCAATGGGAGTTAGACATTTTTGAAAATCCCACTAAAAATTATCTGGATCTTTAAGCGCCTAAATCTTTACAAATCTGGTCTCCCCACTGACTACAAAATGTGTTTTAAACATCCTTTCATTTATAAAAAGCATTCTTACCATGAGGCTTTGTTAATAATAACTCAGGTGCCAGGTAGTCTGGGGTTCCTAAAATGCGTTCACCTTCCACAGGGACAGCTCCTCTTCTTACACTCTTTGGAGTTCTATATGGTGTGTCAGCATTTTCCTGATTAGGTGTCTAATGCCAAAAAATAAAGAAAAGATTTCAAATACAAATGTCAGAGAGCCTATTTATTTCTCCTCCCAAGTAATGGGGATGACTGCAATCAATTAATATTTAAGTAAGTCATATGATTCAAAGACATCTTACAACTTGTATATTAATAGTATTTTATTTCCAACTTCCAAAACATGTGCTTATTGCCTAATCTTCAAACAACAAACTGCAGTCAGAACTGCAACAGATTCTGCATTTTTTTGCTGAATGAATCTTTATTACTTCAAAGTATAAAAATGAGTGATTCCCAATCCTTCTTCATAAATGAGAATTCTTCCTGAATAGCTGCCATACAAAGCAATTTTTTTTTTTAAAAGAAGTGTCAGTCTTCTGACAGATTGCTATTAAAATGACTCCTCCTAATGTCAATCTGAAAGGTAATTTATACAGGGGATTATCTAGATAGTCTCATCTTTTAGAGATTGCACTCAATAACCAGGCTAAGGGGGATGTATATACACATGTTTTCAATCTGAAATTGTAACACTCATCTAAAAAGAATTGGCATTATGGGATTCCATAGCTATTGTATCCCAGATTTACTCTGTTTATATGGCTTTTGTTATTTTGAAGTTGTCCACCTTGTTGACAGCCTGGGACCTGAAAGTCAAGCTGGGTTCTTTCTGAGCTGCATATTCATGTGATCTTGAAGATAATCCAATTTTTTTTTCAAAGCTATACTGGCACTTAGAGATGACAGAATACAATCTTACTTTTTTCCTCTAAAACAAGTAGATGCTATTGAATACACAAGATAGGTTACAGAGTGGGCTTTTCAGAATAGAGACTCCTATAAGTTCCAACTATGTAACCATCACTTGATTAACTATCTTTGGTGCAATAATCCAAAGTACACTATGCCATACTATCATATTAGCAATAGAACCTGCCCACAGAAAGACATATAGGTCCCATTTTAATATTAGGTTGACTTCACAAGATTCAGATTTACTATATAAATTTTATACCTCAACATATATCCTCAAATTTTATATTAAAAAAATAAGTCTGGTGGCTCTTAATACATTTAAAAAGCACAAGCGCAGTGGGGGGGGAGAGACCAGGCGCAAACCGGGACAGCGGATTTCCGGCTCTTCCCTGGTCTCCCTCGCTGCTCTTCAGCCTTTTAAATGTATTAAGAGCCCAGTGACTATTCATACATTTGAAAGACAGAGCTGCAGCAGGGTTAGCCCTAACCCCGCTGTGGCTCTGCAGTACCTCCCCACCCTTATTAACTAATTGACTAGTCAATGGAAATTCCATCAACTGCTTGATTAGCTTATTAAACACCATTTGACACCCCAAAGCAGAACAGCAACTGCCAAACACACAGCAAAATTTATACACTGCACTAGGAAAAGAAGGGTCAAGAAAGAAATGCAAGGCAGCAAAAAATCTAAAGACTCCCACAACAAGTAGCCAAAAGGAAATGTCTCACTGCTCCAACAGTGTGTACTGAGACAAAATTAAAGGACTACATCCCTTTTTAAGTGTCCTCATGTAATTCTGAGCAAAGGATCTTCAGGGAATATTGCTATGCTCTTGTTGAAAACCAATAACTTAGGCAATGTACATATATCCATTCAGATTTTGACCCTTTGAAAAGCTACCTCTGCTTGTCTTTGTCTGACTGTTTCATACTATATCATCAGATTGAATCAATGACCATGTGTACATGCTAGTTACCTCTACAATACTTGGAGACATACCTGATAAATCTTGTAAGATCTTCCCTTTTGTGCAGGGGTAAGAGCCATGGGATAAGAGCCACTACATGCAGGAGAGAGATCCATTACCTCCAAAGAAGCCATGCTAATTCTTGATGGCTCAGATGCATTGGACACATTAATTGGACTGTTATAACTTCGAAAAGCTACAACATTTTTTTTAAGGAGGTTCAAGGTTTTCATCATCTCTTCTGAGGGAGAAGAGATTTTGTCAGTATGAGTTTCAACCAAACATTTCAGGATGTTATCCTGTTCGTGGCACAAATGCTTGCTGTCCTGAACAATATTCTCTTCCCCACCTCTTGGTGAGGCATCTTGGCAACAGGGCGATGTTACTGACATGTCCTCAGTTTTTGATTCCTCAAAGGAAAGTTCTTTAATACTTTTATCCAGATCTGAAAGCTGGTTTTCTAAATGGCTCTCTGTAGCAGAAATCTCAGGGAAGGATAACTCAGAGTCTGCACTCAAAATTCCAAGAGGTTTTTCATCATCAATGCATAAGAAACTAGAGTTAATATATTCCTTTTTACAGTCTTTTTCACAATCTGCAGTTAGCTCATGCATAAGATTCTTAGCTATTATCGGAGTGGCTGATTTTTCAGATGTTTGCTGCCTAGAGATGGATTCTTTAGCTTTTTCTTCATTTTTATGGGTCTCCTGTAGACCTTCACCAGAAAGCATTAAACACTGTATTTCTGTTGTTAAACCTGTGTTTTGGTTTGCCTGATATTCTAAGATTGGACAGCCACGTTTATAGTCTGCATTGGTTTTTTTTACATAGTTAAGTTCTTGAAATGGACTGGTATCAACTAGTTCAAAGCTCCTTTTTACACCTGGCTTTTTAAGAAAGTCTTCCTCTTTTATGCATTTGGCAGGATCAACCAACCATGAACATGACTGCTGACAACTGGAAGATTTTCCTGTCTTATTAGCTATATCAGTTTTACCCACAAGTTTTGCTTCCCAAGCTTTATTATCAGAAAGACATTTTCTGACTAGATCTTTCACATCTGATGCAGTTACAGGAGTGTCCCCTAGATCAAAATTCTCAATTTTTCCATCATGTCTGGAGCCACAGTCATTGCTACCAATGGGAGAGATGGCAAACTCAAGTTCCTTTTTCTTTAAGACTGTTGTGTCTTTTGCATTCAGTAATTGTGTATTAGAAAGCTTTTCTGATGCATTATTACTTGCTGTGCCTGTTCCAGAACACAATGTATCTTCAGTTTCCTGGAAACAAGCAAATTATTTTTTTTAATACAAAGAATTATAAAATTACAACGTTACAGAAATATGCCCCTTCTTGACCTAGCTTAAAAATACTTTATTTCCATCTCAATGGAAAACTTCAGTTTAACATGAAATATTTATCATGACATCAGATCACAAAAAGTCACTACAAATACATTCTAAAAATAAGTAGCTGAAAAAAAAAATCAAACCGGAATCAGTCATTGTGACAGTCTGATTTTGTTTCAAACACACGAAACTTGCTCACTATGATGGCCATCCATGGCCCCAGAACTGCTAGTCTCAGATTACAAAACTGATATATAATTGCCAAATTTCTAATCATAAAACCAAACAATTTTGCCCTGCCTCTTCCCAATCCCCCCTCCGAGGCCCCACTCCCTGCTCACTCCATTCCTCCCCAATCACTCACTCTTCCCCACCCTCGCTCCGGTTGGGGCAAAAGCTAGGGTGCAGGAAAGGGTGAGGGCTCTAGCTGGGGGTATGGGTTCTGGGGTGGGCCAGAAAAGAGACTAGGATGTTGGAGGGGGCTTTGGGCTAGAGCAAGGCAGCAGGCTCTGGGGTGGATTTGGAATGCAGGAGTCGTTTCCAAGTTGGTAAGTAAAGCCAAAGGGTTTGGCATATGGGAGGGAGATATAGCTAAGACTGGTATTCAGGGGAGAGCACAGGATCCAGGAGGAGGTTCTGAGGTAGGAGAGGGAGCTGTGGTGCGGGAGGGAATGTAGGCTTCATGCAGTGCTTACCTTGGAGTGGGAAGCTCAAATGGTGACATGTCCCTCGGTTCATAGGCATAGGAGCACCCAGGTGGCTCTGTGTGATTGGTGCTGTCTCTGTCTGCATGAGCCACTCCTGTAGTGCCCATTGGCGGCAGTCTGACCTAATTATTCCCAACCAATGGGAGCTGCACAGCAGGCACCCAAGGCAGGGACAGCATGCGGAGCCCCACCTGCCATCCCTCTACCTTGGCACCTGAGGGACATATTGCTGCTTCTGGGAGCTACATGGAGCCAAGTAGGGAGCCTGCCAGCCCTGCTAACCAGACTTTTTAAACAGCCTAGTCTGTGGTACTGACTGGAGCCACCAGTTGAAAACCAGACACTTGTCAGCTAGGGATGTTAAAATATGTTTATTTAGATAAATATGTAGCCACTGAAAATTTCTGATACAGATACAGCAGTGCAGCAAGGGGAGGAACACACCAGCTCGGTGTGTGCACCAGCTCCCACATGCCCCCCCATGCTGCTGCTTCTAGTGCTATATCAGAAGCAGCAGCATGGGGTGAGAGGGCTCACCTGCATGTAACCGTGAAGGTTAAGCTTGGGCCTCAGCTCACTGATTAACCACGTACACATTTACACTTCCACATCCTTACTGTCAACACTAAGCAAGAACCAGGTTACGGTGTCCATTCAGAAAGCTCTCTTCCATTTCCATTCCTGCAGGCCAATAGGGAGGTGGGAATTTAATTTCTCTTTCCATTGTATTTAATGGGATGAGCATTTGGCTGAAAAACAGAAGGGACAGAGCTACTCCTACTCAAAGTGCACCTAGCCCATCTACCCAACTGTGCCTTGGGAGTAACTGAGGTGTGGACAAGTTGGGAGCAAAAAAGTGCAATGCAAATTATCTGGGAGAAATAAAGTAGTCCTGACCTGTACATCTTTCTCCCACCTGGGACTGCTACAGCATTCCGATTCCATACTGGACATGTGTGTACGTGAATGGCTACTTGCACTGGAGGTACCAAACCTCTTCCTAGTTTGAAGAAGAGTTGGAGTTAAACTTCTGACTGGCATCCCAGCAACATCAAGACCTTTGAAAGGAAAAATAATGATAGTTCAAATTTTGACTAAAATATGTAGTGTACATTAGCTAGCTTCATACCAAATCTAAGCAAATACTCTGAAGTTAATCTTTCATAATTTATGTGGCCTAGGAATTGTTTTCATCACCTTTCCTGCACAATAAATTTATCATTTATAAAAAGGTATGATTTACCAAGTGAATCAAAACTAGCACAGCAGTGATTATATTTTGCATTTTAGCTTAGAAATATCAAGACACCAAAGTAAGACCACTTAAATATTAAGACACTCAGAGAAACACTAACATAGTTGCACATCAAATCTGATGCATAAGAAATTTTGATTAATGTTTCTTGATTTAAATAGGCCAGTTGGCTTTACTAGCTTGTACATTCAGATTAAAAATGTGGAATTAGTGATCCAGTGGGAAGAACACTTCAGTTGGAGTCAGCACTGAACAAACACTCCAGATCTAGAGCAGCTGACAGAGGTAAATCACTGTGTGAGAGTCCCCTCCCCCACATCCCCGCAGATCTGACCCCTCCTCCATACAACCTAGATTCCTCCACCCTGAAACCTTCCCTCCCCCAAACCTCTCCTGCTAGTGGGGATGCTCTGGTCAGTGACTCCTACTTTGCGCTGGGCTCAAATGCTAGTTCTGGTTGTGCCGGGGGGTAAGGGAGAAGCCTATTTACCCTGTAGAAAACAGCTGTGGCTGGGTCGGATCCACCTCAAGAAACCTCCCCTGGCTCCACCTCCCCATCTGAACGTCCGCTCCCATCACTCCTTCGCCACAGGGGAGGAGCACCTTGTACACCCATATCTCCTGCCAAGCCTCACCCCCCATCTCCACCCCCAAAAAACCATCCCACAAGCCTCTCGCACCAAACCCTGTTCTGCTAAGCTTCTCTCCTGCATCCAGCCCTACTCCCCTGCATTTAGGCCATGTTCCCTCTAAGGCAGGCCTGCACAACATATTTGGTATGTGTCAGACAAGGAAAGCAAGACACTGAGAAATACAGCAACTGAAATCTGCAAAAGATACAAGTTCTGAACATCTCTGTTTATGAGATAACATCTGACTTTGAAAATGTTGACCTCTATCTCTCCATCTGTAACAGTGGCCCAATGGCTAGTGCATGGGATTGTGGCTTAGGAGAGCTGGGTTCTACTCCTGGATGTGGCACTGACCTTAGATGAGTCACTGGTTTATACCTCACTTTCCGTATCTATAAAACAGTGGTGATTGTGCTCTCCTTTGTAAAGTATTGTGTGATCTACTGAGGAAAAGTACAGTACGAGAGCTAGGCAAATGCTATATTTACTTCTTGCTTCTGATGCGGTAAAATAATTTATATACAACATATTTGTTAGCAACTGGTGGGTATCATGGTGGCACACATCCAAACAAACGCACATAACCTCTATATTGGTGCACAAGACAAAACTCACTCTGCTCACAGATGGAAAAATCTTAGAGGGAACAATGATTTAGACCCCTACTCCTGCACCCAGACCATCTCCTGCTCAAGTTCTCTGCACTGAACCCTCCACCCTATGCACCTGTACCACCCCAATGATTTCCCCCATACCAATGAACTGCAACCAGGTTCAACTTCCTTGAATCCCACACACCCAGACTCTTCCTGCCAAGCCCCTTCACCCCACACACAGATTCCCCGCTGCTGAGTCTCAACCACCTTCACTTGGACCCCCCGCCCTGTAGCAGAGCCCATTGCCCCATAACCCATAGCCCCCCCAACAAGCCCCTGTGCATCCAGATCCCCTCCAATAAGCTGTCCTCACTCAGCTATCCACACAAAACCCTCTCTGCCCACACCTGGATCACCCCCCTTCACCTATATCCTGCCCAAAGCCAGTGTGCTTGTAGAGGGGTAGGGCTCTGGGATAGGTCCCACCCTTGCATTTTTGTCAGGATCTGGTGCAGCCACACCACAGAGCGTGTGTCTGAGGGCTCTGGGGGGGAGAAAGGAAAGACGGCTTACAGTGTGATCTTTCATTTCTGTTTGCCCAGTGGCCTGGGACCCCCACTGCCATGCTTTGCATTTAACAAATAACATTTGCAGAATCTTAAAATGTTGTGCACAGATGTTTTATTTATTTATTTGGCCCAGAATTCCCTCAGGAGTAACTAGTCCTAGAGAACATCCTGTTAAAGGTATTGTCTTTTGGAAAAGATGTAAGCTTCATGACTGGACCCACTTAAGCACTTGATTAAGTTTTAAAAAAACCTCACAAACTAATGGTGTTGCTTATTATATGACTTTTTATACTTACATATTTTCAGTACTTACATGATTTCAATAGTTTATTTGAAATAGGGGTATAATCCTTTTGGCCAACAGACATGGGGGAAACCAATCCTTGAGAAAGTTGCAAAGCATCAGCAGACACGGGACTTAAACTAGGTCCTTGTATTTTCCCACCGATTGGAGTATACTATCAAAATGATAGAAACTTTCTTAAACAAATGAATTAAAGTTTGTATATAATGTCTGAAGCTAAAAATGTAGTCTTAAATTTACTCAAAGTTAAATTATAATTGAATTCAGCTGAAACCAAAAAACAAATCTGGCAATTCTCTTATCTGAAGTAAGGTCAAAAGTAGTTTCTGGAACACTCAAGTCAAAGGTATGCGCAGTCCAGTCATAAAATATGCTATTGACTGTGCTCAACTGAGACAGGGCAAAGCCTGATTACTCCAATTTAAGTTCTTCTCATTACCTTAAAAGCAAGCAGTTTGAAGAACACTAACAAATAACTAGATTACTTACAAAACCCAGAGAGCTGATGAGAGACAACACTTGTCCTGGAGTGCGTGAATAATCTTGTTTAGGCTTGGCCATTGATGGCGTAGTAAGGATATCCATCATATTTATCTCTAAAATATGGAAATTAACATAGTGTGTAAAGTTTTTATTTGATTAATTGATACATGAAAAAGTTCCGTCATTAACAGTATTTAAATTCAGTAAACAAAATCTTAGCCATGTGAACCAAATTAAAGGACATTATTCTTAATTCTATATTTTACACAAGCTATTTCTTTATATTATTCATCACATTTAAGATTTTTCAAAGTCCAATTTTATTTCACAATTTTGACTATTTTTTACATTTCTCACTATAAAAACCCACTGAAGGCAGTTTCATTTTCAGGTTTTCAAAACCATACTGCTTCGGTCCAGAACTGAGGGAAAGGTTCAGAAAGAACTTTGTACTGATTTTTTTAAAATGATGAAATTAGAGACTTAAGGAATTTTGGGGTAAGTTGATACAGAGTGTATTTTCTGGGGCATACTCAGTGCTCTCTAATTATTGTTTAGAACTAAGAAGTACAGTGACAGACAAAACTGCCATTGTAATTTTCATATAGAGAGACAGACCTATTTTTGGACTGGAGGGGAAGATAGCTAAAGGAATCACACTGGCATGTGCACCATACATTTTTAATAATATTTTACAACTGCCCTTACAAAGTGTCCATATATAAAAGAGAATGCTACAGAAAGATTATTTTTTTTAAGAAAAGGGAGTCTGGAAAGTAAATTAGGGATTTCCATATTAAAAGAATATTATGGTTATGTAGTTAACATATAAATTGTAAAATGCCAAAATTAAGCTTGCAAATAGCACCTAGACACCACATCTTCTATGTATGCTTAGCTATCATCATTAGTCACATACTGTTTCACAAACAATT